GTTACAGCTGGAGGGATCCCTTCATAACACACATGTCGGGTTACTTCTGTGCTTTAACTCCTCTGGGGCCTCTGTTAGGGGCTGGATTGTGTCCTCCTCCCCAGATTCATATGGTGAAGTCCTAACCCCTAGTCCCACAGAATGTGACACCTGGAAATAGGATTGTTGCAGATATCATTTGTTAAAATGAGCTCACACTGGAGTGGAGTGGGCCCTGATCCAATATGACTGGTGTCGTCATAAGAAGGGAAGTTTGGGGGCACCTAGGTGACTCAGTCGGTTAAGCAGCCGACTTCAACTCAGGTCATGATCTCACCATTTGTGAGTTTGAGCCCCGCGTCAGGCTCTGTGCTGACAGCTTGAAGCCTGGAGCCTATTTTGGATTCTGTGTCTCCCTCCTCTCTCTCTCTCTCTCTGCCCCTCCCCTGCTTGTGCTCACTCGCTCGCTTTCTCTCTCTCTCTCTCAAAAATAAATAAGCATTAACATTCTTTTTTGTAAAGAAGGGAGGTTTGGAGGCCCCTGGGTTAAACGGGCTGGATTAAACCCTGGCCTCAGTCGGTTAAACACTACACTCTTGGTTTCAGCTCAGGTCATGATCTCACAGTTCATGAGTTCAAGCCCTGCATCAGGCTCTATGCTGACTGTGCAGAACCTGATAAACTTTTTTTTAAAAGAGGGAAGTTTTTGTTTTTTTTTTTTTTTTACAAATAGTTTATTGTCAAATTAGTTTCTTTTTTTTTTTTTTTTACAAATAGTTTATTGTCAAATTAGTTTCCACATAACACCCAGTGCTCATCCCCACAAGTGCCCTCCTCCATGCCCATCCCCCCCTCCCCCCCACATCCATCAGTCCTCAGTTTTTGTCAGCATTCAAGAGTCTCTCATGGTTTGCCTCTCTCCCTTTCCCCCACCATTTCCGCCCTTCTTCTCCCCCTTGTTCCTCCGTCAAGTTCCTCCTAATCCTCCTATACGTGCAAACATATGATATTTGTCCTTCTCTGCCTGACTTATTTCACTCAGCATAACACCCTCAAGGTCCATGTTGCTACACATGGCCAGATTTCATTGTTTCTCATTGCCATGTAGTCTCCACAATAGCTAAAACATGGAAAGAGCCTAAGTGTCCATCAACAGATGAATGGATCAAGAAAATGTGGTTTATCTATACCATGGAATACTACATGGCAATGAGAAACAATAAAAAGAGGGAAGTTTGAACACAGAGATGTGGGCACATGGAGAACCCTCAGGGAAAGATGAGGGCAGAAATCAGGGTGACATCCCTGCAAGCCAAGGAATGTCGATTGCCAGCAGCTACCAGATGCCAGGGGAGAGGCCTGGAACAGATCTTTCCTTCCCCACCACCTTCAGAGGGAGCATGGCCCTGCTGACACCTTAGTGTCACTATATGTCATTATAACACAAGAAATTCTGTTGTTCTAAGCTACTCGGGTTGTGCTAATTTGTTATGGTGGCCCTGGAAGGGAAACTGTTCACCTGTGGTTGTAGCAGTGGGTTCAAGGAGAAAGAAGTCAGTGGTGACCCCTGGGAAGTCTACTCAGAGGAGAAGGACCTTGTTGATGGAGGCAAGGGGGAGGGAGTCACTGGAGTGACTTCTTCAGGAGGAGGATGACAGTAGGCGGGTGGTGAGGACATGGGTGGGCGAAAGCACTCAGCAAGGGGAGGGGAAGGAGAGGAGAGGACAGAAGGAGATGACTGAATTTACAGGTCTTGGAAACATCTGTGCTGGACATGGGGGGTAAGAGGCAATTGTCAAGGCTGGACAGAGCCCAGGACATTGTGTTTTGTTGACAAGCAATATAATCAGGGCGTGCTGTAAGGAGGGACCTAGTGGCCAGGAGAGAGGGTGCCTGCAGGGAAGAGCCAGGTGAAGGCTACCAGGTTCTTCCTCAAGGCCCACGCCCCACTCAGGCATCCCCAGCCCAGTTGCCTGAGAAGGCATGTGGCTCTGGGTCCCCAGAAAGGACACATGGGATAGTCAGAGGCCATTCAAGGCTGGTCAGGGCTCTACAGACCAGCTAATGCCAGGCCCAGAGAGGGCACCACAGACTCCCAGAGTCTTCAAGGCTCCATTTCACTGAGAGAGGAGGCTGGCACGAGAGATGCAATGATCCATGGGGTACAGAATGTGAGAGAAGCCATGGGTTGGGGGGAGGAGGAAAAGAAGAAGGGGGAGAGAGGGAGAGAGAGGGAGAAGGGAGGTGCCAGAAAGAAGGAACAGAGAGCAGAAAGGGGAGTGCAGAGGAGCGGAGGAATGAGAAGGAGCTGGAAACATCTTCCCCAACTAAAGCCCATCATGGTGCCTAAAATTTGACTATTAAAGGTAAGTCATTAAGAATCTGGACATCATAGACAGTGCCTGGGAAAAGGGTGTCATTTTCAGTACTAATAAGGTGGCAGTTCTGGGTGTCATCATATTGGGAGTCCATACCAAGTGATTTCAGGGTTCAGGTCAGTGACAGCCCTTTAGACCAAGCCAAGCCACTCCCCCAACCTGTCTCAGACTGTGGTCCCCCTGCCTCCCTCCATCCTCTTCATTTGCAAATCATCCCTCAGGTAGGCCGCCAGACAAGGCCCTGGCTACTTTGGGTGGGTTTGGGCCAAGGGTGTCCCAGGCCTCAGGATTACCTTCTTCCTCAGTTACTTTCTTCCTCACCCCCACCCCATTTCCTCTTTGGAGAAGAGTTGCCCAAGGTCTGGGTCTGGTGGGACTGCCCCCACTGCTCCTGGTGTTTTGAGCTCAGAGCAAGACATAGTCCAGGACATGACAGCATGAATGACATCTACAGGGACCAGCACAAGCCCACTCCTTTTGCTTCCAAGACCCCTTCCTACCCCACCCAGGCCATCCCAAGAGCATGTCTCAAAGGTGTGAGAATATAGGACTACAGTTTTGTTTCTACCTTTTCCCTTCCCTCTCTCTCTGGAGACAGGCGAGTGACAAAGGGAACCCCTGAAAGGTCTGACCAGGAATCCCTGTCATCCTCTGCCAACCTGAGCCCAGTCCCCATGGCAATGGAACCCCTAGTGGGCCCAACCCTTGTCTTATAGGGGAAGACACTGAGGCGAGAGATGAACTGAGCTTCCCCATGGTGTACAGTTGTTTCACTACTTTTTAGAATCTGGGGCTCCCAAAACCCCATCTTGTGCCTATTTGGCTATAGCAGTGGCCCCTTTACTGGTTCTGGGACATCTGACATCTCTGGAACATTTTCAGGGCACAAAACAGGGGTGGTGTGAAACAGAAATGGCCAGAACAAGAGTCAGAGCAAAGACTTCAAGCTTTTGTCTCTGTTATAAAAGGAAGCCCTGGACGTTTGGGGGGAGGTGACCAGGGGTTGGAGGGGCCGCATCCACAGGGTAAGGATAGACCCTAACATTGGTTGAGCATCTGCTATATGCCAGGGACTGGGGGGGGGGAGTATTTGGTCTAATCCTCCAACCCTGACAAGTCCAAGATCTTATCCTCTTTCTGGAGAGGAAGCAAGCTCAGAAAGACTAACTTGGATGCACCCCAAAGCCCTGGATCTTCTCCCAAATGTAGTTGGGGAGAAAAGGAGAAGATAAGGGACTTGAGATGAGCTCAGGCAGAGAATACCCCGACTTGTGCCCTCCAGGAAGCAGCCCTCCCTTGGGCCTGGGCAGACCCAGGAGAAGAGGCGAGGTGGAGGTTCACTCACCCTGACCAGAAGCAGCACGGCAAGACAGGAGCTGAAGGACAAGAGGGAGCAGACAGAGCAAAGTGGTCACCAGTCTTGACATTGGAGCTCGGAGGGCAGCGCACCTGCCATTCACCCTCTCAGGAATGCACAAAATGAGTGTCAGCCAAGGAATCCCAGTAATAAATGAGCCCCAGAGTCCTTTGATCCCTGAGACACTGGAAAACTGGGGCCAGCCTACCTGAGTCACTTTGTGAGCTTCTATCCTGACGGGTGCGGATTTTATTTCAGGCCAAAGGGCAGAGGGAGGGGAACCCCTCCCTCGCCAGGCAGCATGTGGGCACATGGGCAATCAGATTTGTCACTCCGGTAGAAGAGCAGCACACGGGGCCCTGAAGTAGCCTGGGAGAACCAAGAAGACCCCTGTAGGGAGGTTCGCACCCCTGGAGAAGAGGCTGGGCCTGAGCCTAAGAGGAGAGGGGGAACCCATTACTCTCCTCCAGCACCCAGGTAAGAAGATTCCCCCTCTCTTCTCGAGCTCTCATTACTGGCCCTGGAGAGCCCCCACGACATGGGATGCAAGTCATGACCACACCTAGGCCAGTGCCTAGCTCCAGGATGGCTGCATTCTCAGATCTGTGGGCCCCGAGATCTATCTGTGAGCTCGCAGGTGAGGACAAGCTTCCATGGCCATCCAGAGTGACCTTGCCCTACCCCAAGGTCAACAGAGCCAAAACCTCACTCCTTTGCCTTTTGTGTGCACCCACTCATCACTCCCTGGGCCTAAGGCCTCCAAGGTCTGACCCTAGGCTCGTCTGCCACAGTGACCTCAGGCAGAGGTAGGCCTGATCCTGCCCTGGCCTACATCAGGCAAGGGGCTCCATTATCCATGTTCTACATGTGGTCACAGGAAGGGACTGAGAGTGTTGGATGTCCCATGTCCAGATGTGGCACCTAATCCTGGGAGGAGTGCTCTCTCCAAGAAGGGCTCCTTGGAGCTCCAGGCCCCTGCAAGGGAGGGAAAGAAACCACTCACAGCTCTCTACTTTAAGCCTAGCTCTTTTATTGGGAGGAAAATTCCAGAGTGGGGAGTCAATGGAGAAAGCAAAGATGTCAGGGTGTCTGGGCAGCCCTTGGTCTCCTGGATTGAAGGTGAGGAAGCAGAGGGGGGCTCATAGCATGTTCCTTTCTATTCCACCAGCTCTGAGCCTACCACCTCAGGCTCTGATGTCAGTTTCTTTTTGACCAACGGGTGAGGTGGGGAGAAGCTCTTTTGTGGGCTTTCTGTCTTCCACTGTCTTGTCCAAATCTGGATGTGTGGTGGGAGCTTTTGTCTCTCTCACTGAGTAGTTGTCACGACCTTTGGCCTCTGGATTTGGAGCTGGTGGTGGGAAATAGGTGGTGAGGCCCGGGGACCTTCAGCAGTTGCCATATCCAGCAGAAATTACCTGCCTCTAGATCAAGGGTGCCCACCCTACCCAGGCAGCCCCAGGGTGGTGGGTGGCAAGGCTCCGGGGAAGGAAACAGCTCCTAGCTGGGGACGGGCCCCTGAATCACCTCTGCAGTAGGGTCAACGTTCTCCAGGGAGGGCTGGAAGTGGCTGTAGAGGTTTTCAAGGGCAAATCTGTCCTCCTTCAGATTCTCATCTGCAGAAAGAGGGGCAGGGCTGAGAGAGAGTTTGAGGGGCTGGCCCTGTGTGACAGGAAGACAGAAGAGAAACACAGCCCCCTGTCATGCCTGGGGGTCAAAAGTCATGGCCACAGGCTGGCTCAAGGGTGACCTGGGTGAGGGTGGAACAAGACGAAGTCACTGCTCAAGGGTCACCAGCACACACTGCATCACAGCCACAAGAACCACAGCAGGCAGAAACCAGCAGTGCCTGAAATCTTCTCTTGAAGTGGATGTGTTTTCAGCCACCATTTTCCCAGTGCTGCACATCCCCCACTCCTCGGCCTCCAAGCCATAGGCTCCAGGCTCTCCAGGCACTTCCACAACCATTTCTTCTCTCTGCCTCCTTTGAGGTCATCCTGGTGACCCTGCCCCTCACCCTGCTCTCTTCCACACCTGCATTTTCCTGATGCCTCCCAGCCACCCACTGGCTGAGACCTCTCCCCAAGCTTCATATAGACCAGAGCTGGTGATGCCTCTTGTACCCCTATCCACAAGCCCCCATACTCAATGTATCCCCACCTGCTGCCTCTCCCCCAAGCAGGAAGTGCCCATGCCCCCATCTGAGCCTTCCTCCTTCTCCAGCCTGTGAGCAACAATCCTGGCCCAGCTCACTGGCATCTAAATTACTTCTGCTATCTACTCCTTCCACTACCACCACCACCACCCCCATCTCCACTCAGCCTCATCATCCTTCACCTGCATTACAGCAGAGCCATCTCCTTGGTCTCCCCACTTTAGGGATACCCCCATCAAGTCCCCCTGAGTGAGCTGCTTGAAATGCATGTCTGATGCCCCTCCTTTAAAGCCCCTCCAGTGGGTCCCTCCATCACCGCCCACAGAGATATCCATGACTTCACTGGGATCAGTGTTCCTGGAAACAGGAAGCACAGGGCTTATGCACCAGTACGCAGCACTGCCGCCGCAGCCTGCCGACTGGCTCAGATGACGGCCCCTCTGCAGTCTTTTCCTATCCTGCCCTGCCCTGGCTAGGCCAGGCAGATTTCTGTGCCCCTGGATCCCTGGATACGGTCCTGTCCTCTCACTAACTGTGAGTACATCTGAGGCTCTCACAAGGGGTGGTATCTGGGGACAGGATACGGCTCTCTGCTACACCTGTAGCTCCTCCACGGTGTTTGTCAGGAGTAACTGGGAGAGCAGGACTTGCCCAGGGGCAGGGATGGTGATGGATAGAAAGCCTTCATCTCCGTGCACCATGGGACATGGTGGTTTTCCATGGCAGCTGGGAATCAGAAGAGACAGAACACATGGGAAGCTCCATGGAGGGGCAGCGTTTGAAGCAGATCTTGGAGACAGAGTGGGATTGGGACTGACAGAGCCCCCAATGAGGGGAAACTTCCAGACAATGGTGCAGTACTTGCAAAGGCATTGGGGAGGGAAAGGGTGGGCATGGGAGGAGTGGAGAAAAGACAAGGGTTGGCAAGGACCACATGGGGGCTTCAGGGTCAGGAGGCTGCAGAGAAGCTGGCTGAGCCCAGGGGCGCAGCACATAAAAAACCAGCTGGCAGGACCCACACAGCCCCCACAGCCACACAGTGTCTGGCTGCGGTGCCTTCTCCGCCTTTCTCCACCCACCAGCTTTGCCTCCACCCTTGCCTCTGGCGAGACGTACCTTCCCAGATGCCTGTGTTCTGAAAACTGCCAGGAAGATCTTCTCCTTGCCACTCTCGAGACAAATTGTATTCTTGCCTGCCAACAGAAAAGCCCTGAGCAGCTGGTGGCAGGGAGGTGGAGGAGAGAGCCTAAAGGACCCTGACCTTCGGCTTCTGGAAAGGACTGTCACAGCCATGCCCTGGGTCGGGGAGGGGTCTGCCCCCAGAGCGGTGGCAGAACAAAATGTCACTATGGCCCGCCCCTCTCCCTCCTCCCCTCCAAGGGAGTTCCATTATCTGTGGGAAGGGAGCACTGGACCAGAGTCAGAGCACTCCCTCTGGCTGCTGGAGGTGCTGTGCCCCATTGTTCCCCGACTTTCTCAGGTAGATTTCTCCCCATTTTACAGCTGGGAAAACAATGCTGGACAGCTCATTCCCAGTGGTGCTCTGTGGCAGCCAAAGTGATAACATGAGGTAATGTCATTACATAATACAATTTCAGGACACAGTGTTTGGTCGCATCTCTCTGCCAAACAGGTCAGATCAGATCAGCGGGCTGCCATGTGCCATTAATCAGAGCTGAGTGGGGCTGGGTCCCCAACAGGTTTCCAAATGCTGAGGGGATGGAGGAGAACCTTGGGATCTTGTGGCCCCCTTTCCCTGGGCCTGGCTCCATAAGCTCACCTGTGCAGTTTTCTCTGGGATCGGCCAAGGAAGACGGTCAGGACCACCACCACGACCACCAGCAGTGCTGCTAAGGCCCCCACACTCCCGTACACCAGGCTCTTGCTTGTGCTCAAAGCACAGGTCTCTCCCCAGTACCAGTGCGTGTCCGAGGTTGGGCATCTGGGGACATATGCAAGCTCAGGCCAGTCCACCAACATTCCTCATACCCAGTCTCGCAAAAGAAAAAAATCAATGCCAAAGCACAGGAAGCCAGCTCTCCCTCCAAGGAAGGGCAGGCACTGGTTAGGAGGGACTCAGGTTAGGAGTCTCCCTAAGACTAAGGGTCAGAGAGGAGGTAAGGATTCAGTACTGCAGAACAGGATTCAGAATCTGAGTTTTGGATGCCTTGTCCCAGACACATGATGTCCACCCATCTAAGCTCTAGCTGGCACCTTGACTGGCCTGTTACCATTTTTATATTTTATGCTTTAATTTATGCTCTTAGCTCTTTATGAACTTAATGCCACAGCTGTACATAGCTAAAGGTGATATAATGGTATTGTGGTTGGGATATTGAAGAGAAAATGAAAGATAGAGCTAGAAATCTATAGATATAGATTTGGGAAATGGTGACTAGAACATTCCCAGGAGTGGGCTTGCTCAATCCTAGAATGCCAATATCTATAACCTACACCTCCCCTCTGGGTGGGCAGTGAAGGGACATCTGGGTAGAAGGAAGAGGGATCGGTGGGGAAGGACGTGTTTTGTGAACTGTCCCCAACTCCCTCTTTGTCCTCCCCTATCCTGTTCCTGCCCCGTGACTATGGTGGAGGGTGTCATCCTAGCATTAGAGAGATTGGGCACTGGCCCTAGAGGAGCTGGACACTCACAGGCAGCGGGGACCACTTTGCTGCAGCTGGCATTGGCCCTTATTACAGTTCAGTTGCAACTTCGTCCCCGAGGTGCATTTGGTCACACAGGCCAGCTTTCCATCCAGCTCATCCACGAAGTAGAACTGAACATAGTCCTTCGCAGCCTTCTGAGTGCATTGTTCTGGGTGGGTGGGGTGGAGGGAAGAGTGGACAGTCTGGTTAAAGTGCCACCAGCCCTCGCATTTACTGCCCACACTCTGTCCGCACCCCCCCAACACCTACCGCTCTGCAGCAATGCTTACCCTTCAGGTCAAAGCCCAACGTCACTTTCTCACTCACGATGGTGGCTTCCCCATTGAAGCACAGTTGTGAGGATGCTGCCAAGCATGGTGGGAAAGAACAAAACAGAAACACTGCCCTCTACCCTACTAGGGTCGAGGCCTATCTCTAGATGCAGCTGGGTCCCTAAACAGGTTCAGATGGAGACATTTGGGCTGGTAACAATCTGAGCCCCAGACTGGAAGCACCTGTCAGGGGCACTTCAGAGTCTGAGGAAATGGGGCCTGGTTTCTGGATCCCTATAGGGAGGTCTCTGGAGTTCCAGAAAGGAGAAGAGATATGGAGTGAGAGGAATCTGGGACCTCCTTATCCTTTCCCCACCAACATCAAGGGGTTTTAGGAGGACCTACCTCTGCACTCTTCAGAGTCACCAGATAGCCTTTTGGTCTCATTCACAATCTTGATCTTTATGATTTTAGAGAGGTTTGCAAACAGTTTGTCAAACTCAGAAGTGTAGTTTGCCTCCATAGTGACGTCATGTTCCACCACGACACTGCCATTTCTAGAACCAGGAGTTGGTGATTCATCAGTCATCCTGTGTCACCCACCCTCCCAGAAAGTGGGGCCCACGAAGCCAGAGGGGTGATGAAAAACAATTAGCTATGTGACCCAGAGGCAGGACAGACTAGAGACTCTTCCCTCCAACAGTTAACGTCCTAGAGGGAAGCTGCAGAGGAAAATGATCTAAGATCCCAAAATATTAGTGGTCACAATAAATGCCATTGGGTGAAATTCATTCTTAAAAATGGAAGCTCTTGGGTGAAAACATGGTGGAATTGAACCCTTGTGTGCTGTTGGTCAAATGGTGCAGCCATTGTGGAAAACAGTATGGCAGCTCCTCAAAAAATTAAAAATATAATTACCATATGACCCAGCAATTCCACTTCTGGGTATTCATCCCAAAAAATTGAAAGCAAGGATTTGAAGATACATTCATACATCCATGGTTGTAGCAGCATTATTCACAAGAGCTAAAAAGAAGCAGCCTAAGTAAGTGTCCATTGATGGATGAATGGATAAACAAAATGTGGTACACAGTAAAATGAAATGTTATTCAATCTTACAAAAGAAGAAAATTTTGACACCTGCTACAACGTGGATGAACCTTGAGGACATTATGCTAAGTGAAATAGCCAGTCACAAAAGGACAAATACCATATGAGTATTTACATAAGTACTAATATGAAGTCCTTAGAGTAATCCAATTCATAGAGACAGAAAGTAGAATGGGGGTTGCCTGAGGTGGGATGAGGGAGAATTGAGAGTTATTGTTTAAAAGGTACAGAGTTGGGTGCGTAAATGGCTCAGTCGGTTGGACCTCTGGCTCTTGACTTTGGCCCAGGTCATGATCTCATGGTTTGGTTTGTGGGATGGAGCCCCGAGCTGATAGCGCAGAGCTAACTTGGGATTCTCTCTCTCTCTCTCTCTCTCTCTCTCTCTTTCTCTCTCTCTTTCTCTGCCCCCTCCTCAAAATAAATAAATAAACTTAAAAAATAAAATAAAATAAAATAAAGGGAAAAGTTCTGGAGATGGACCATGATGTTGGTTGCACAAAATTGTGAATGTACTTAATGACACTAAACCATACACTTAAAATGATTAATATAATGGTTAATGGCAAACTGTATGTTATGGATATTTCACCACAATAAAAAATATTTTAAATTAAAAAAATTTTAAATGGAGGCTGTTGGATTTTATTTTGGAAACCAAAAAAGCATGCTTTGGGGAATGAAGAAACATGAGGTCACTTTAGAAATATAAGATTCCAACCCAGAAGCTCCTTATTAGATGGCCAATGGGTCACTGAGAGATCTTGAGACAAGGTTTGTCACCAGTCACAGACATGTGACAGAGCAGTCTGGAGCAGGACCCACGATTACTTAAAACAAGAAAACCTTGTGCCAAAATGGAGATGGAAAGAAGCACTTGTACTGGCAGGGGGGGGTCAAGGTGGGGTAGAGGATGCTGAGTCATGGAACCCCATGGGCATTTGACAGTATGGATCTCCCTCTTTCCTTGCTGGGACAAGACACCTTCCACGCTCCCTTCTCACTTTCTTTCCACTTTCCTTTGAGGGCTCTGCTTCTCCTGTCTATTCCTTAGATGCTGGTGCTTCCCATGCTTCTTTCCTGGGAAATGTTCACACCTGGGCTGTGACCATTTCCAGGTCATCCCTACTTCCAGGGATTCCAGCGATTTCTTCCAGGGAAACCAACACCAGTGTCTCCGCTACAGACCACCACACATTGTTTCCTTACTCAATGTGGCTGTGTCCCAGGCACTTGAGACTCCACACAGCCTACTCTTCATCTTCTTCCCCATCCTCCTACTCCTTACCTTCCTCACCTTATCAAAGGGCACTCCACATTTCCCAGCAGCCCAGAAATCTGGTGTCATTCCTCCTTCTCTTCAAGCACCCATCAAGTCCTCATGATCTGCTAGTCCTGCTTCTTAAAGATCTTTCATGCTGGACTATTTTTCTTTTGCATTATCATCCCTCTCTGGCTCAGGCCACTATAATTTCCATCCCCTATCCACTCATTCTCAGTCCTGCAGTCAAACTGAGCTGTCTGTAGTGCCAATCAGATATTTTCCCACCTGGGCCAAAACTGCTGATACTTAAAGACTAGGTAACTTAGTATGGGTCATTTTTTCACCTCCTCTCCCACCATGACCCTTTTGCCCTCAAGCAGCAACTATTCTTTTTTTTTTTTTTGGCATCATGCTTTTCTTTTTCTTTTTCTTTTTTTTTACAAATAGTTTATTGTCAAATTAGTTTCCACATAACACTCAGTGCTCATCCCCACAAGTGCCCTCCTCCATACCCATCACCCCTCCCCCCCACATCCATCAGTCCTCAGTTTTTGTCAGCATTCAAGAGTCTCTCATGGTTTGCCTCTCTCCCTTTCCCCCACCATTTCCGCCCTTCTTCTCCCCCTTGTTCCTCCGTCAAGTTCCTCCTAATCCTCCTATATGTGCAAACATATGATATTTGTCCTTCCTGCCTGACTTATTTCGCTCAGCATAACACCCTCAAGGTCCATCCATGTTGCTACACATAGCCAGATTTCATTGTTTCTCATTGCCATGTAGTATTCCATGGTATAGATAAACCACATCTTCTTGATCCATTCATCTGTTGATGAACACTTAGGCTCTTTCCATGTTTTAGCTATTGTAAAGAGAAGCAGCAACTATTCTTTATGTTCCTGGAATCTCCCCTCTCTCTCTCTCACCTCTGGTTTCCTCATCATCAATTCCCTTTACCTGGCACATTCCTCTTCATGCCTTAAGCCTCATCTTAGCTGTCACTTATTCCAAAAAGATTTCCCTCCACTTCACCCAGTTTGCATTCAAAACCTTTCCCATTGCACCCTGTGTGTCTCTTACTGTTAACTCTAACCAGATTGCACAGCCATTTTGTTGTGTTTTTTGCTCCATGAAGACCAGGACCACTGTATTCCCTGCCTAGCACAGGGTAGGCTTTCAATACAAGTTTGTAGAATAAATGAAGGATGAATGAAGCATGAACGAATAAATTAATGGCTCAGAGCCTTCTGGTGTTGCCTGTGTGCTGGGGGCCCTCTGGTTCTTCAAGACAAGAAAAGGCAAGAGAGCAGAGAGAAGGGGCTTCATGCACCCCTCACATACTCACAACAGTCTCCTAATGATCACGCCTCTGTACTGGGGAAAGTCTTTGCCCATGTAAACTTTATCCATCTGAAAGAAATGAGGCAGCTGAGTTCATACATGCCTGGGGCATGCAGAAGCCCTTTTCCTCTGTCTCAAAGGCAGCCCCAGGGCCCCCTTCCCACAATAACCCATGTATTAGCCCATAGGAAAGAAGGAAGGGAAGGGATAAGGATGCTCCCTTCTCCAGGATGTGAGTGAGGTGGTACTCAAGGAAGGGGCTCTCAGAGGACCCCCTCTCAGGACTTGGGAAACTGAAGGGATCTATGAGCTGATAAGCTCCAAAGTCAGTCAGAATGAACCCCTGTATCCCCAGTGACATTGGACATCCATTTTGGGGAATCTGAGATTTCCCTACTCTTACCTGACTCTTGAAGAGTTGAGTGAAATTCCAGTATTCTGGGGAAGATATGTTATTCAGATCTTTTGTGAAATTCCAGTTAGTCACTTTCACTGTCACACCTAAAGTGGCATTGATTTTTTCTGGGATTTCTGTGGGAACAGATCGCATTATGCATGAAACAGCAACCTCTCAGTAATGTCTTCTGGAATTAATCTCCTCCTGCTGGTCTCATGGAGGCAGAGAAAGTGGGTAGGAGAGTGGATGGAAATTCAAGAGGCAAGTAGGAGTCACTGAAACTTTTGACCCTTGTCTCTGAACACCACAAGGAGCTAGTGGCCAGGATCATGACCCAGAAAGATCTAAGTGGAGGGCTCCATAAAGTGTTGTGGTAGAAACATCCTGATGAGAGGTGCGGATGAGCCAGTGAAAAGAGCCCAGGAGGAGGAGTCAGAAGGCTCATGTTCTACCTACATTTGGGCCTAGTCAAAGGTCATATTTTCTCCTCTACCTGCACAATGAGGTAGTGGCAGCAGATAATCCTTTCAGTGTTGCCCTCCTATTTAAGTGGTTAAGGAGTATGGAGACAATCTGAAGGTCTCATAAAAGTTCATTACCTAAGAGGAAGGAGTCCACAAGTGACTTGCACTGGTAACCAAAGAAGCCTTGGGCACAGACACACTCCTTTCCATTCCAGATGGTCCCATTCTGGCACTGGCCTGTGAAAGTGTAGAATTCACAGAAGTCACCATGGAAGCCCAAGAGACAAAAAATGCTAGCTCCCATTATTTAGGCATTGCACTGAAAGAGGAGAATAAGACCCTCTGCCACCACCTCAAGTCCCAAGGGATCAATGAGGAGGGACAATGGGGAAGATGGAAACAAGAGGTGAAAGATGAGCAAAGAAAGCAAGAGCCCTACAAAGAAAAGAAAAGAAAAGAAAAGAAAGAAAAGAAAAGCAAAGAAAAAAGAAAAAACAACATCCATCCCTGTGGATGACATGCTATGACAACAGGAAGTCCCAGGAAGGATGGAACAAGACCATAAAGAGGTCAAAACTGATTAGTTGATGAGAGAAAATGTACAGGAATGATTCACAGAGTGACCAAAAAAAAATACTTACTTGGTGTCATAGCTGAAGACTGGGTCGTCATCACAGTTGTTTGTGTGCTAGTGAACAGGGGAAGGAGAGTTGAAGAGGTACTGAACCCAGGGACTGGAGCATGGGTAGAGCCATGTGAGGTGGAGGACAGAGGAGGAGAAACACCAGAGGAAGCTGTAATGGCTGAAGAAGAGTCAGAGACTGGCCTTGAGGGCAAGCTAGGGATAGCTGAGGCTGAAGAAGCAGCATGAGAGGCTGTGGTTTGGGAGGTGTCAGATGATATTGTTGCATTTGGTGACCCTGTGCTGCTTTGGAAAATAGTAGATCCTCTTCTGAGGGTGGTGGCTATTGGTCTGGAGATGGCTCTAGTTGTAGAAGAGAAAGTGAGAGCTGATGGGGATGCAGGACTCTCTGTGGCAGAGGGGATTGAAGTAGAAATCGTTGGTATGGCAGACTCACTGCTGGTGATGAAAAGAGTGGAATTCTCACCCAAGGTGGTGGGCATTTGTTCAGAGGCTGGGAGTGAAGAGGAATGGATGGGGCTTGATGAAGACAATGCACTAGGATCTTTAGTGGTATTGGGGGCATCAGATGAATCTGTTCTGTTGGAAGAATAAGTGGTAGTGATGAAGACACTGGATTCCTCGGTGATGGTTGTGATAGTAGTGGAAGGTAACAAGCCAGAACCTGATGAGGATGCAGGACCCCCACTAGGAGTGGTAGAGGAGGTGTCAACAGAAACTGTAGAACTAAACAAATCAAAAATGGTGTAGATGGTTGGCTTTTCCGTGAAAACTGTGGTTGTTTGTCCAGAGACCAAGGTACTAGTGGATAATTCACCAGGACTTGATGTGGAAATAAAACTTCCATTGACAGTTGTAGAGGACGTAACCACTGAACCAGTAGAGTAAGACAAATCAGATATGGTTGTGTGGACAGTGGATTCTTCAGTAAGGGATGTGGGTGCTTGCCCAGAGACTGGAGTAGTGGAAATTAATTCACCAGGACCATATGGATAAGAAGGACTTGTATTCTCAGTAGTATAGAAGGTATCATGCGGAACTGTTGGATTTGATAAATCTGCGAGGATTGTGGAGACAGTTGATTCCATAGTAAAGGATATGGGTGTTTCTTCATATCCACCTGTAGTGGGAAGAGTTTCAGGTGAACTTGAAGTATCAGCAAAACTTGTGTTCTCTTTAGAAAGGGTGGCGTCTGAGGTTACAGTAGTTTTGGACAGATCAGGGGTGCCTGTAGAGACAGTAGACCCACCACTTAGGTTTGAGGATGTCTGTTGTGAGACACCTGTGGCGATAGAGAGCTGACCAGGGCCTGAAGAGGAACTTCCTTCAAATCTGGTAAAAGAGGTTTCAGAGGAAACGGTAGATTGAGACAAGTCAGAAACACTCGTGTAGACAGCTGACTCCTCTGTAAGAGTCTTGGTAGTTTGTTCAGAGAGTGCAGTTGGGTTAGAGAGGTCACTGGGGCTTGATGGGGAAGCAGGACTTGCCTTGTCTGTGCTGTATGGAGAGGGGGAAGAAAATGTTGGTGCGAACACCTTTGAGGTTATTGTATAGAGTGTGGATCCTGGAGGAAAAGTTGTTTGTGCGTCACCACCAGAGGTGGTAAAAGATTCGCTGAGGGTTGATGTGGACATAGAATTTCTATTGTCTTTGGTGAAAGTAGTTGCAGATGAGTATGTGGGTTGAGAAAAATCAGAGATGGTGCTATGCCCTGTGAGTTTCAAAGGAACTGTACTGGCAGTTGTTCCTGAGACATCTGGATTAGTAGATGCCTCTCCAAGGCTCCACGGGGTAGCAGGACTCCCAGCACCTGTGGGATGGGGGCTATAGAAAGAAACTGTTGATTCAGGTGACTCTGAAAAAGTGGCATGGATTGTTGGCTCCTCTGTGAGAGTTGTAGTAGTTTGTTTAGAGATCATAGTGGGAATGGAGAGTTCACTGGGGATTGATGGAGAAGCAGGACTTGCATTGTCTGTGCTGTAAGAATGATGGGTAGAAAATAGTGGTGTGGGCAGCTCTGAGGTGATTGTATAGAAGGTGTATTCTTGAGGAAAAGATGTGCTTGAGTGTGCATCACCACTAGAAGTGGTAGAGGATTCAATGAGATTTAATGAAGAAGACGAAATACCATCATCTCTGGTAACAATAGTCTCCAAGGTATCTGTAGATTTGGATAAAGCAGGGGTTCCTGTATAGAGAGTGGATTCCACTGTGATGCCTGTGGTTATTTGTGCTGAGACAGAAGGGGTGGTAGACGATATGTTAGAACTTGAAAAGGATGTAGAACTTCCTTCATCGCGGACAGAGGTGGTCTCAGAGGAAATGGTTGGTGTAGACATTTCAGAAATGTATGTGTAGAGAGTTCTCTCTTCTGTAAAGGAGACTGTTGTGGCTGTTTGTCCAGATAACTGACTGGATGTAGAGGATACACTAGGGCCAAAAGATGATGAAGAACTTCCCTTGTCAGTAGTCAAGAAGGTACTGAGGGAAACTGTAGGATTTGACATATTGGAGATAGTTGTGGAGACTGCGGATTCCATAGTAAAAGACACCGTCATTTGTACATCACTGTGAGAACTGGTAAATGATTCACTAGAGCTCAATGTTGATCCAGTACTTCCATCATCCTTGGTAAAGATGGATGTTAATGAATTTGTGGAATCTGTGAGATAGGAAGGGGGGGTAGAAGATGTTGTTGTGGATAGCACTGAGGGAGAGGAAGAGAAAACAGACCCCACAACAAAGGATGTTGCTGTTTGTCCATGATCAGCATTTGTAGTAAAGGATTCAGCAGTTCTTGATGTGGAAGCAGAAAGCCCATCCTCCTTGTTAACAGTGCTGTCTGAGATAACTGTAGGTTTTGATGAATGAGGAGTACTTGTATACATGCTGGGTCCCTCCATGAGAACTGTGATTGTCTGTGCTGAGACAGAAAGTGTGCTAGATAGCTGGGAAGGGTTGGAAGAAGACATTGCACTTCCATCATCCCTGGTATAGGAGATTTCAGAAGGAAAGGTCATTTTGGACAAATCAGGCATAGTTGTAAAGTCAGATGGCAAACTAGTAAAAGGTGTAGTGCTGTGTCCAGTGATCACAGAAGTGGTGGAATATCCATTATGGCCTGAGGGAGTTGAAGAACCTATACTATAGGAAGACGCCATGTATTCTGATGATTCCGAGATGCTTGTTGAGAAAGTAGACTCCGTAGCAGTGGGTGAGGCTGATGGTCTGGAACCAGAAGAAGTGGTTAAAGATTCAGTGGGACCTGATGTGGACACATGACTTTCATTATCCTTGGTATATGTGGTTGCTGATGAGTCCGGAGGTAGATGAGAATCAGACATGGCGCTATGCTCTGTGGATTGCTGGGTGACTGTAGCTGCAGTTAGTCCTGAGCCAACTGGGCTGGAAAAGAATTCTCCAGGCCTCGAGGGTGCTGAAGAACTGCGAGTGCCTGTGATTTGGGAGCTGTAGGAAGAAACTGTTGACTCAGATGAATCAGAAATGCTGTGGACAGTTGGTTTCCACGTGAGAGTCCTGGTTGATTGTTCAGAGAGCACAGTGGTAGTAAATTCATCACTAGAGCTTGACTGGGAAGCAACATTTACTTCATCTGTGCTGTAGGGAAGGTGAGTTGAAACTTTTGGTGCAGACACCTTTGAGGTGGTGGTGTTGGAAGGGGATCCTGGAGGGAAAGTTGTGCCTGTGTGTGTATCACCAGGAGAAGTGGTAAATGATTCAGCAGGCCATGAAGTGGAAGAAGAACTTCCATCTTCCTTGGTAACTGTGCTGTCTGAGGTACTGGTAGGCTTGGAACAATTAGGTGTGTCTGTATAGACAGAGGATCCCTCGGTCAGGCCTGTGGTTGTCTGTCCTGAAATCCCAGATGTGGAAGATAGCTGGTCAGGATTTGAGGGGGATATGGTCCCCCCATCATCCCTGGTGTAGGATATTTCAGAAGAGGCTGAAGGTGTCGAAAAATCTGAAGTGTGTGTGTAAACAGCTGTCTCTTTAGTGAATGTCATGGCTGTTTGTCCAGAGACCCTAGTGCTGGTGGGTGATTGACCTGTACCCAGAGGGGATGAAGGACTTGCCTTGTCGTTAGTGTGGGAGGTGTCTGGCGAAAATGTAGGATTTGATGAATCAGTGAATGTCGTGGAGAATGTGAATGACACTGGAAAGGACCCGGTGGTTGGGCCAAAACTACCAGAAGTAGAAAAGGCATCACTGGGACCTGAGGTGGGTGCAGGACTTCCATCTTCTCTGGTAACAAAGGTTAGAGAAGAGTCTGTGGGTTTTGAGGAATCAGAGATGGTTCTGTGGTCTGTGGATATCTGGGTGACACCAGTGGCAGTTGGTCCTGAGACAGCTGGGCTGATGGGTGCCTCCCCAGGACTCCATGGAGCTACAGAACTCCCAGTGCCTGTGGCATGAGAAACCTCGGGTGATACTGTGGGCTCAGATGAATCTGACACAGAGATGCGGACGGTTGTCTGACCTGTGAGAGTTGGGTCTGTTCCTTCAGTGACCACAGTGGAGGCAGAGAGCTCACTGGGACTGGATGGGGAGGCAGGACTTGTGTTATCTGTGCTGTAGGAGATGTGAGTGGTTGAAAATGTTGGTGTGGACAGCTCTGGGTGGGAGGTATAGAAAGTGGACCCCCCAGCAAAGGATGTGGTTGTTTGTCGCTGATCAGCATTTGTAGGAAAGGATTCAGCGGTCCTTGATGTGGAAGCAGAAAGCCCATCGTCTTTGGTAACGGTGCTGTCTGAGATAACTGTAAGTTCTGATGAACGAGTGGTGCCTGTAACCATGCTGGATCCCTTCATGAGGCCTGTGGTTGTGTGTGCTGAGGCAGAGAGGGTGCTAGACAGCTGGCCAGGATTGGAAGGGAGCATTGCACTTCCATCATCCCTGGTATAGGAGGTTTCAGAAGGAATGGCTGTTTCAGACAAATCAGGCATAGTTGTAAAGACAGAGGGCAATCCATTAAAAGTTGTAGTGCTGTGTCCGGTGGTCAGGGGAGTGG